AGAGGGAGAAACCCTAAAAATCCAAAGTGCTCCGATTGACGCAACGACCACAGATCCAGAAAGAGGGCGAGGAGGCGATCACGGCGGTGCTGATCGGCGGCGGAACTCTCCGGCGACGTGCCGGCACGCGCGGCGGGAAGCGGCGACAGCGGTGACTGTTGCGGCGGTGCGTGGAGGCGTGTGGGTGGTCCGTTCGCCGCAATCTATTGACCACGGTGGTCGCCCAGCCGAGACGATTCTGATGGTGTGGTCGTCGATCGATTCTGGAACTCCGGTGGCGGCGGCGGCGACTGCAGCGACAGCGGCGGTGATGGGTACCGGAGACCGTGGAGTTGGCAGGAACTATTCCTGTGCTCTAGATACCATGTGAAATAATAGAGAAGATTAGGAGAAACCATAAATACAGAATGGGCTAAGCCCAATTAACATAAACACACAACTTAACATCTAACAAACCTCTCCATCTCTTACCACTTAGAAATTTTGGGTCCACATGCTTCGTTCATAATTTTTGTCCTGATCTTGATAAATTATCTGCTAGGTTAAACAAATTTGTCTTTTTAAGATTTACTAGATCTGGAAAGGGGATGGAGAGTTGAGTTTGATGGTGGTGGTCATCGCTAGGGGGGAGGCTGGATGGGGCTATCACAAAGAGGGAAGACACATTGAGGAGTTGCATGGAAGGGCGTCAGAGCTCAAATTCTTGAAATTTTGGCAGCATGGCAGTCACCTAACTTGGACAATAACAACTGTGGTGTCGTTGGACAAAATGGCCGTGGTAGTGCTGGGGAAACACTGAGGTGGTACTACAATGACTAGACAAATTCAAGGTGGAGGCATTAGCAATGTGGCGATTACTAAAGCAAACATAACCATAAAGCCAGAAATTAAAAAAAAATAAAACAATTTTTGGAAAAAAATTTAGCACACCAGTGAATTTTGTTGAATTTTTTGGTTATGTTGAATTTTATTGAATTTTTTGGTTATGGTATTTGTCCGTGGCATCTTATCTTTTGGTTGGAAGTGCATATGAATAATAAACTGCAGAGGGCTAGCTCACAATCAATATTTGTATTCTATAAATATAAGGGATTTTTCTGTTTAGTCTGAGTCTTTTTATAAATAGTATGATATAGTTTCTGACTACATTAGGCCTTGTACTAATTATTTCAATGGCATTATGACAGGTTATTCGTCTCTGGTCTTTAGACAGCTACAAATGCATAGAAGAACACTCAATGCCAGCTATATTCCCTTTAATTGACTTTGATTTTGATGAGAGCAAGGTGAATTAATTGAATGAATGCTTTATCGATTTAACTTTACACTGTGCACTTATAAGGAATTTCATTGTATCAGTAAATCATATGACACCACCTGTTTAAAATATTGTTCTTTATTGGGAATGAAAAGCATTACTATGAAATTTAATCAACTCATTTCATTATTTATCATATCCTTCGTATTTAAGACTTCAGTGATGTACAAGAAGGAATAATAGGTGAGATGCACCTAATCAAAACTTGGGAGGGAGAATAGGCAACTAACTCTGCCTTGGCTGTGGAGTGTGGCATCATGACACATGATGCAATTGGGAGGAAGTGTAGACAGGGAAGTCTGGTAGAGGAAGATAAGCAGAAATTGGTTTGAACTCTTGATCTGGGAGATGAGCACTGTCAAACTGCTGAGATTTGTTTTCCTTTAATACAGTTCAGGATCTATATAAAAAGGGGTGAGAGTGACAAGATGAAGAAATTTCTTGTTTAACTAAATTTATACAAGAGAGATGAAGCTATTTATAGTACAGTAATACTTGCACTGCAAGCTACTACGAACTTCTCACTCAGCAGATAACAAACCATCAGAATTTCTAACTGAAAATAAACTGTACAACTGAAACTATAACAGTAAAGTAACTGCATAACTGAAACTATAACAGAAAAGTAACTATACAACAGAATTACTTAACTACTCTATTATCCTTTTATTTCTATTGATCTGAATGCAGTTTTGGGCTTTCTTAAGTAGATATGAGTCTTGTAAACTTTATACAAAAACATATTTTGGTAATTTGTTCAACTATAATGCCCTAATACCAATCATGTAATTCATAATAATCTTGCGAGAATTGCTCTACAAAAGCTAGCTATGCAGTGGGTGAGCCCAGGTCCTTATAATCCTCACACTAAAGTCCTATACATCCAACTTGGGATCTCGTGCTACTAACATAGCTTGTCTGGGCTGATCGGGCTTCAATCCTTTGACTAATCTACGTCAAACACTCAATGCTAGAGTTATCACCTGCATCAATGTTGTGTCCTCTATTTGTTTGAAATTTTCTATGTAATTTATTTGTGCTGCAAAGCATCTGAAGGCCAGTGTTATTTTATTTTTGCTACATCTTTTCATTTATACTGTCAATTTGCCTAAAAAGTGCTGGGGTCAATTCAAGTTTCTTTAAGTTGCTGGCTCGTGGAAGATTGTATCCTTTATGGTTTCTGAACTCCAAAATTTTATTTTCAGATTGTTGGTCTAATTGGTAGCCATTTATGCATATGGAGGCGGAATGGGAAAAGAAGCATATTTCCTTCACTTGGAGGCAAATTTGTAAAAGGTTCATGCATGCGGTAAACTAATCAACACTCTTTTTTACTTCCTATCTTTTTGTGTGGAGTGATGACATGAAGTCAGTTGGCAACCTATTTAGTTGAATAATAAGATTTGGTGAATTGCATGAGTCTATCACTCAATTGGATCTTTGTTATAGTCAAAATCAGGTTGAATTATGTGTAAGAGAACTAATTAGGGTATGTAACTCTCTTGGATAATGATAAGCCACTGTACGTGATAAGACTTTTAAGATGTATGTTAGGAAAAAGGTTCAAAATTAGAAGTCACAAAACGGTTAACAGTAATTGGACAGTTTACGGGTGATTAGAGGAAGTTATTTAGTCTAGTAGGGGTTATCTTTTAAGGAGGAACCAAGGTTCCATAGAGGCAGACCATGATAAATAATTTTTACCATTGTGTTTCTTTGTGGTGATGGTGGGTGTCCTAGTGATAGCGAAAATAGGCCCTAGAACATACCCACACAACCAAGGGTGGCCATTTACAAAACCAGCAAGAAAGAAAGACAAGGGTTTAAAAGCAGCTTTATAAAAGTTGTACAACAGAAGATATTCAGTATTCAACAGAAGTAAGACGAAAAACTATTTACATATGATATCTGAGTTTTTTTCTGTTCTGTTCTTTCAGCTATGTTGATCCAGAAGCTGTGGTTGGGTGTGATGATGGAGCTGTTCGTGTTTTTGACATGTACAGTAGGAGATGTTCTCAAATATTAAGGTATTTCGCAGATTTTTTTATGTTGATTTTTGTCCAAAACTGGTCAGCAACATTTTAAGTTTACCAAGAAAGGATTTTGAACTATAACATTTGATATGCATCCTTGCACTCTAAAGGTAGCTATTTGTTAGGAGATGAAATAGGAAACCCTGAATTCGAGGTCAGGTACCTCCTAAGAAATTAAGAGAAGAGAATAAAATATATTTTTCTGCCCCTTTCAAAAGCATAGTACAGCAATTAAAATAGTGACTCCAAAGATTCCTCTAGGACAGGTGGCACACAGGCCAAATAACACAATAACAAAAACTCTAACTAACTTCTTCTAGAACATCCGACACCAACAGAAACAATTAAAATGGGATATATTAGTGATGAATGAAATCAGACCACCCAGCTGGTCTTTTCACCACTCTTTTGGGTCTAGCACCCTCATCCAAAGGACCTTGCATAACACTATTAAAGGGGGAGGATCGCTTAAATACTTCAATGAGTATTCCATACTACTTGATGTGGGACTTAGGCACCTCATAATACCCAAGTTCCCATCAACATTGGTTGAAAAGGAATGGTGTAGTCATTTTTTTGGTGGCTTGGAACAAATAATCCCATTCATAAACAAAAATAATAGTCTCATTCTTGTAAGTTGGTTCATATATATTGCTTGATTAATATGTTCAAGATGTCATGTAGCATTCATGATGTGCACAACTTGTTATCTGCAGAATGCACCCTGTACCAATAACATGCTTATGTTTGAACGAAGATCGATTGATAATAAGTGGCTCCACTTCAGGGGATATAAGAATATCAGATCCATCCTCTGTTCAACAGGTAGCAACACTTAGATCAAGTGATGTCAGAGGTAAAAATTTATCCCTTTTAATTGGCATTTGTTGGTTAATGTCAAGGGAAGAGAAAACCAAGAGACAATGGATGAATTCTGTGTGTTTCAATTATACTTTCTGTTATACCCAAGGGCGGCAAAATGGGTCAGTTTGGCCTGTTATGGCCCAGCCCACCAAAAATGGGATAGGGCAATATATATATATATATATATTAAAAGCACACATAGCTATGAAAATATTTTCTAAAAGTATTTAATTGGTTAATTAATGTCTCTAATTGGACAAATTAAAAGAGTTATTACTTGTACATAATGATTGGAACTTAATTTATAAATGTTAATAATTTAAGTTACAATACTATTGTATATTTGTGTCCTGCCAAAATTACTTTAATTAAACACCCCCTTCAAGCTAGAGCAAATAGGTAGTATGCACCAAGTTTGTTGTATATCTAATTCATCCAAGGACCTTTCTCACATACTTGGTGAAAACATATGCTAACTGGTAAGTTGTTTTACAAAGCAATTGATGATACCTATATAGATAACATCTCCCTAATGAAATGATAATCTATTTTAGTGTGTTTGGTCCTCATATGAAACATTGGATTCATGGAGATATGCAAGGAGCTCGATTATTACACTTGAATGTCTTTTGTGACTTGTAATCTTCCCAAATTTGAGGTCTTTTGTTGAAGTTTATATATGCTCATGTTTTGGTGGACCAGTTCTATTTGGTGAAATATTTTGTTGATCTTTATATATTGAGGATATTATTTTTGTATGCCATAGAGTGCCATGATTAGTTTTAGCTAATATTATAAAAGCACTATACATTTCTGGTGCAAAAAGTGAATCTGATTCAATTTTTGTCTCATAGGCATAAGGACCATGTGCTTCAATCCCTCCTCTCAGCTACTATTCGCAGGATCAGCTGTTGGATGTGCATATTGTTGGGACCTTAGGTAAATGCGGCAATAGTGTAATAAAGGTTGCTCCTTAGGTGCATTCGTGCACTACAGCTGTTACACGCTACTATATAGGCAATTGCTACAACAAAAAGTATATTGATTATATGAATTTAATTGAGAACTGCTTTAGTCTTCTTTGTTAGAGGGAATCAAATAGACAAAGTAATGACTTACTAAAAAAATTATCTGAAGCTGATATAACGTTTATGAACATCCTAAAAGGGTAGGAAACTCCTAAAGAAATTAAGACTGCTGTAATGAAGCACATTATATGTTCTCTGGCTCTAAGCCGGTTGTTTCATTCCCAGAAATTTGGAATTTTTCGTATTTCCATTACATTATTCATTTGTGCTGGAACTTTTATGTCTCATAGACAAGGTAAGAATGGAAAAAATAAAACGTCTGTTCCTAGGACGTTAACTACAACACGAACTTATATGGAACAGAAATTGTTTCTACTGCAAGCATAAACCAGTAATGATCCGTTTCTGTTTAATCACTACTAAATGTTCGCTATTTTGTTTAATCATATGCTCAACCTTGTTTGTCCATTTCATGCAGAACAAGGAAACTGTTGTGGAGCAACCGAGTGTGTCCTAATGTTATATACTCCCTACAGCACATGCAAAATGACACATCAACATTAGTCGTTGGTGGAATAGATGGTATCTTAAGATTGCTAAATCAGAACGATGGCAAAACTGTTGCTTGTTTTTCTATGGATGATAAATTGTTATCAACCTTTCAAAGTCCTTCTGGTTCCGTTCAAAGAATAAAAGGGCAGAGGTTGCCCGAGGATGACTTAATAAATATTGAGCACCTCGTTTGTATAACTGATCGACCTTCTATTACCTGCCTCGCTGTTGGAATGAAGAAGATTGTTACCACACACAATACCAGTGACATCAGATTATGGAAATTCAGAAGCTGACATTTCTTTGTAAAATTAAGTATTTAATTTTCCGAATAGTGTTTGTAAATAATTATCTTTTTGAAGAGCTGTAGTGTGACGAAGAAAAGTTTATCGTTCTAAATAATTATCACTATTATACAATCCATGAATTTTATCAAGCTATTATCGCGTTCTTGTATATCATATAAAGCACTGGTTCATAATTTCGGGTAGTTTGAGCCTCTGTTCATTAAATAGAATTCTATCGTGGAAGAGTTTTATAAAAAATCACAATAAATTTTATTCTTAGATTATGGGTGTTATTTTAGATGTTAAGATCTCTTGGCTGGTGGATATAGACATGTGTGGTTGGAGTGATTAGTTTTTGGTATGTGAAGCTTTTTCTTATTCTCGAAGTGTTCCAGATCTCTTAAAGGTAGATAGATTAGGAATCTCTTTTTTCTTTTCATAAAGGAATTCATTTTAAGCTTGCAATTTTATGATTGATAAAAGATTAGACATTAAGTGGTTTGACTCTCTTTCTCCTGTTATTAGTGTATGATAAGTATAACTCCCTTTGTTTACTTCTTTTTAAGGATGCTTGCTATTCTTCTTACATAACAAGCTATTGTAACTTGAAAGAAAAAAGAAGCGAAAAGTAAAATATTGAATAAACATTCACTTGAACTCATGAAATTAGTGGATGTTGTCGTTTTACTATCATTATTTCATAGATAGATTTAGTCTCTCTTCTTTTCTGTCAAATTTAATTACATAATTATATAGTTTTGATATACTATTAACTTAAAATTTATCATTATTCAATAAAAATACTGATGCAATCGGATAATAAAATGTTATTTCAGTATTTTCAATAAAAAACTTAAACACCAAATTAATGAATACAAAATTAAATTCCAAAAATATTAAAAGTTAAATTCGGGAAAGAAAGCAAATAAACAAAATTACACAGTAAAAAAAATTAAATATTTCACACATGAAAGAAAATAAAGAAACTAAATTTGCAAAATCTATAACTATATATGTCTTAATACATTGTTTTGGTACCTACATTCTTATGTTCTGTTTTATCTATCTATATATCTACTAATACTAATTTCCCTACAATCGTATTTGTATTTTTTAAATATATAAAAAATGTATTATTTTGGTGCGTATGTTTTTCTTCCACAATTTTATTTATAATATTCAAATAACCAAATCCTCTAATACCACAACACATCATAAAACATTAACTATATATTACGTAATTATCATTATATTTTCATTATTTTTTAAAAAGTTATTGAGTTAATAACACTTACAATAAAAAGGAAAAAAAGAGAGGTCCAAAATTAGCATTAATCGTTTTATTTATTGGGTGCAGTGTGGTGTTCATAGAGAAAGACGCCATAGGTAGCAAAGGGAGTTAGGGAAAGGGGGAAAGAAAATGGTGTGCATAAGGAAGGCGACGGTGAAGGACCTTCTGGCGATGCAGGCGTGCAACCTCTTCTGCCTCCCTGAGAACTACCAGATGAAGTATTACTTCTATCATATCCTCTCATGGCCTCAGCTTCTCTACGTCGCCGAAGACTACAACGGTCGCATCGTTGGCTACGTCCTCGCCAAGATGGAGGAGGAAACCACCGACTGCCACGGCCACATCACCTCCCTTGCCGTCCTCCGCACCCACCGCAAACTCGGTCTCGCCACCAAACTCATGACCGCCGCACAGAACGCCATGGAACAGGTACATAACAACTCCTATCTTTCGATAGATCAATTATATTGGAAAAAAAATTCAGGGACTAAAATCACTTATAATTAAAAACTGAGAGAATAAAATTGGGGATTTAGGGTTCCATTTGTGGATTTTGTAAAATATAGAACCAAAAGTAAATCAGGCTAACTATAATTACATATATTTGTTTTCTCGGTCTTGTATTGGATTCTTCCACACAGGTGTTTGGTGCCGAGTACGTGTCCCTGCACGTGCGCAAGAGCAACCGCGCNTAATATTCAAATAACCAAATCCTCTAATACCACAACACATCATAAAACATTAACTATATATTACGTAATTATCATTATATTTTCATTATTTTTTAAAAAGTTATTGAGTTAATAACACTTACAATAAAAAGGAAAAAAAGAGAGGTCCAAAATTAGCATTAATCGTTTTATTTATTGGGTGCAGTGTGGTGTTCATAGAGAAAGACGCCATAGGTAGCAAAGGGAGTTAGGGAAAGGGGGAAAGAAAATGGTGTGCATAAGGAAGGCGACGGTGAAGGACCTTCTGGCGATGCAGGCGTGCAACCTCTTCTGCCTCCCTGAGAACTACCAGATGAAGTATTACTTCTATCATATCCTCTCATGGCCTCAGCTTCTCTACGTCGCCGAAGACTACAACGGTCGCATCGTTGGCTACGTCCTCGCCAAGATGGAGGAGGAAACCACCGACTGCCACGGCCACATCACCTCCCTTGCCGTCCTCCGCACCCACCGCAAACTCGGTCTCGCCACCAAACTCATGACCGCCGCACAGAACGCCATGGAACAGGTACATAACAACTCCTATCTTTCGATAGATCAATTATATTGGAAAAAAAATTCAGGGACTAAAATCACTTATAATTAAAAACTGAGAGAATAAAATTGGGGATTTAGGGTTCCATTTGTGGATTTTGTAAAATATAGAACCAAAAGTAAATCAGGCTAACTATAATTACATATATTTGTTTTCTCGGTCTTGTATTGGATTCTTCCACACAGGTGTTTGGTGCCGAGTACGTGTCCCTGCACGTGCGCAAGAGCAACCGCGCGGCCTTCAATTTGTACACCGAGACCTTGGGGTACAAGATTCATGATGTGGAGGCTAAGTATTATGCGGACGGAGAGGATGCTTATGACATGAGGAAGCAGCTCAAGGGGAAGCAGCAGCATCAGCAGCACCATCTTCACCACCATCACCACCATCACCATCACCACCACCACCATCACGAACATGGAGGCATGTGTTGTTCCGGAGAGGTCAAGGGGAATGCCAAAGCCACCTGATTGAATGGTTAAGTCGTGGAAAGAAATGAGACTTTTGGTTGAAGTAGGAGGCTGTGGTTGAATTGTGTTGTGCAAACTTGTTGTACATTTATTGGGCTGTGTTGCTTCATTTTGATATAAATTTTTTCTTTGCTGTTTTGGTTTCGGCTTTGTGATGCCTGAATGAATAACAGGGTTGCTGTGATTTGGTATCTTTGTTGATTTTTGTCATGGGAATTTATTTTATTTTCACTCGAGGACTTGCTGTGAGCAGATTTTTAATTGCAGGCACTATAGATTGGTGTCGTGGTATGCGGAGCGGCATTGATCTACTGGAGCTTCATTTGTTTGGCACCATGGTGCGTGCCAGCATAGCTGTGGCTGTTGTGGCCACTACTGTCTACAGTTTTGCTGGGAAAAAGGTTTGTTGGTTGTTCTACTTTCTTCATAGTAGCGGTTACTACTTTGTGTTTATGTCGCTGTAGCTGCATGTTTTGAATTGGCGATTCATGCCACTACGCACACGTGGTTTATGAAGAAGCGACCGGATTGAAATGGAGGATCCACTCTGCTTGGATTTCGCACGTTTTATCTTCACATAATTAGCACCAGTGCTTGCGATTCCCTTTCATTAATTGAATTCCATGATACTTTAAGCATATGGGATTTGATTATGTCATATGATACCTTTATGACGGCATAATGAGTTGATTACGTCACCTTGCTAAAACAACCACTTCAATGATATTGTGTGAATTCTTTCTGAAAAATAAGTCCCATTCATCATTGTTTATGAGCTGGAATATTATCTCCTCTGCTTCTCGACTGTAGTGAATTGAGTAGCTCGTATTGTCAATGCCTGAAACCTAGGAAGTTTACTGGAGATAACAGCGCCCTTGTTCGTGGCTCAAATACCTTTCAGTCATTTGTACCCATCCCTGAGGAGGCAATGATTCAGATTTTTGAGGAAGAAATCAGTTCAGATGCAGATAATTTGCTCAGGTTATCTATTCTTGAGGTGCTTCAAGAGGGGATTACAATGTTATTGGAAGAACTTGATATTGAGAGTTGGATACTGAATCTTTGCTTTCCTTCGTTATCTGAAGCAGAAGAGATTCTTACCATTCCAAAGATAAATTCAGTTCTTTGATTGTGGAAAATATTTTCAATGTACTAATTCTGGATGCAGTGTAGATGCCAGAACCAATTCTAAGCATGACAGATACAGCCTAATGCATTGACCCAGCAAATCTCTAGAAGTATTATATGCCATCACGGGCATCCATGCATATCATATGACTGAGAATGAAAAGTTGAGCAGACTTGAAAGTAATTTCCCCTTTCACTTGTTCGTGCTCGTGCTGCTTTGAAATATATAGTGCTGGCTTTGTCGAGGCACATAGATGATACACTAGGAAAACCTAATGTTAAACACAAAATCTTCTTTCTTGTTAAAATGCTGGATCCTCTTCTCGATCCTACAATAGTGCTGTACGAAAGCCAGCTGGATGCATGTTAACGCCAATGAGACGGTAGCGGCCGTGGAGAAGGATGGGCTCGAAAGCCTTGAAGAAGAGGATCTCCAGCGCAGCCGAGGAGAAGGATAGGCTCGGAAGCCTTGAAGTGGAGGATCTCCGGCTCGACAAGCTGAATAGGACATTCTCTGATCTTTGATATGTTTGCAGCCGCGCCCGCAGTAGGTGACTGTCGTCGTCTTGGTGCCGAGGCACTAGACCTGCTCTAATGCTGGTGGTGTTTGTGTCATCTTTGCAATTAGGGTTTCAATTAGGAAGAAAGGGATTTGCCTGTGTCGCGAAGGAGATAGAGACTCTGCACTGTGATGGTTCACCGGTGAGACAGGGCGATGATCTGTGGTGGCGTTAGAACATGCCGAAACGCTTCGGCTTATGCTGCCCGATGTTGCTCTCGGTGACGAAGTAGACAACCTCATAGGTAATGCAGAGAGGTCGGCTAAGGCCATCGTCGGCAGTAGTCATGGCGGCGAAGATGTCGCCAATGCTGGTTCTGATGATGATTTCGAAATAATCAGCGACTTGCCCGTGGGGATCGTCGGGCTTGGATTTGGCCCTCGACGTGGACATGAATGGCGCCAGAGGCTATGCCGGTGGAAATAGTGAGGCGCCCCCGCAAAAGGAGTTGATCATGACGGATACAGGTACTAATGGAAAAATTATCATTAATGTGCCGTAACGGGTGGCTTAATGCGCGCTGGAGGTCGGACCGGATGGCGCAAAGAATGTCGTGAGTTCCGCAGAGGATGGACTGGACGATGTGACTGTACTGTTTGACGACACCATTTCAGTGATGATCGACTCAGATGTGAGCTAGGTCTCTGGCCACAGGTTAACGATATTTCTAATTGTCGCTGTAGCAACAAACCGATGATGGCTGTAACGGAAGCATTGTGGTCTTGGCCGGCAAAGGCAATGAGGTGGCGCTGTGGGCGATGGGTAGCGGTTCTGGCCGCCGTTGATTAAAAAGTGGAATCGGCTCCGATGATGCCGAAAGAATGCGCCACCTTCTGCATCATGTTCAATACTCTTGCGGCCTTCATGATTTATCATCATACTGCAGCTGAAGATTTTCTTTTTACCTGATCATAGTATAATGAAAAAGTGGTGTCTACTAATACATGATTACCGAACGACTCGGTGGATGACGCGGGGGCCGGCCTGAAAGTCGCAGCGGCTGACGCGGGGCTGGACTGAACGACGCGGCGGGATCGCCTTGCAGGCGGCGTGTACGGATGATGCCGCCTATAACCAGGTAGTCACAAACCCAATCCACGAACGCTCTCTTCGCCTTTGCTAAAGGAGGTGGAGGTGATTCCTTTTAAAGCCTTTCTTTCAAAGAAAACCTGCTCTTTCTTACGTGACATAAGTTTCATCAATAGTAACATTAGTATAAACAAGGTTTAATTGCTTCCTTTGTCCCCAGTTTGGTTGAATTGTGTCAAATTCATCCTCATTTTTAAAAAAGTTTCATTGTCGTCCTCACGTGGTGTAAAAGTTTCATTGTCGTCCTCACGTGGTGTAAAAGTGTCAATTGAATCCAAACATAGAAAAAATTTGTGTCAAAGTAGTCATTTTTCCTATATCTCTGTGTCTTCCTTTCATACAATCAAGTACAGATATTCATTTTACCTTATCCAATTTAAGGCTTTTCATAGCTCCAGAGAAGTGACATATGAAAGGAAGACACAGATATATAGGAAAAATGACTACTTTGACACAAATTTTTTCTATGTTTGGATTCAATTGACACTTTTATACCACGTGAGGACGACAATGAAACTTTTTTAAAAATGAGGATGAATTTGACACAATTCAACCAAACTGGGGACAAAGGAAGCAATTAAACC